GTTATCGTAGTAGTAACCTGCTGCCTGGAAGTATGGACGGCTATCGCTCTTCAGCGCATTGTCAATATTCTTCATGATCTTGTCATCAATATCGCTGGTGATATTAATGGGCACCAGGGTCTTGTCCCACATCAGTTGCAGCTTGGCGGAGGAAGCATTGATGGCATCCATACCAATGGTAAAGTTCTCAACAGCGGTTAAGATAGCCACTGGCTTTACTTTAAAGCGCAGCAGTTCATTACTGTTATTGTAGTCAGCTACGTTACCACCTAAGGTAAGATCTTTATACAGTAAGATCTCCCAATTGTCCTTTCCGGGGATGGTGTACAGCGCATAAGTACCTGCCTTAACAGCATTGCCTTCCAGCTTTACATCTTCGGTGAATGTAAGCTTGGTAGCGCCATTGGCACCGGTACGCCAGATCTTTCCGAAAGGAACCAGGTCGCCAAAAATGGCGCGTCCCTTTGCAGCCGGGCGGGAATATTCAATGGTTACATCTCCAAGTGCAAAAGCCTGCTTGGTGGTCTGCAACGGGCTTGGGGCAGGCGTTTTCAGCGCCTGAGCCTGGGCAGTTACAGAAGAGATAGCCAGCAGACCTGCGGCAAAAAGCAATGTAATTTTATTGATTTTCATATACAACACGGTTTGATTTTCCGTGCTGCAAAGGTAATGGCAAAGGACGTCTCCTGACACATATTAAACTTTTCCATTCCGAAAGCAATTCTACAATCCATTGTGCGGCCAGCATTACCCGGCGCGCCGGAGCTCTTCCTCCGCACCACGCTGCTTTTTCTTTGCGGGCGCTATCGCCTTGTTGCCAAACCGGTAAGTAAAGGAAATATTGACCATTCTTGAATCGCGGCGAACTATAAAATCTTCATGATAATTTGTAAAGTTGCTATACCCGATCGGGTTTTCTTTATAAAGCAGATCGGTAACCCCCAGCTTCAGCGTTGCCTTTTTATCAAACAGGTTCTTTTGTATCCCGATGTTGATGGAGCTCAGGGCGCGCAATACCATATAACCATAACGTTGTTCCGACTGGTACCAGCCGTTCAGCTCCACGCTCCAGTCGCGCGGCAATATAAAACTGTTCTGGGAAGAAAGTGAGACGGCAACGGTTCCTTCATTCAACGATGTATTGGCGATGTCTCCACGGAAATGGGTGTAATAAGCAGCCAGGTAATTGGTGCTGTTCCACCATTTGAAAACTTGAAACGGGTAGACGCCGCTTAGCGTTACAATCGTATTGGTAGCCAGGTTGCGGTTTGTGATCAGGGTAATATTACCGGCAGTAGGTGCGATCACTTCTGTAATCATGTTCTGAGATTGGCTATAACCCAGTTGTGTAATGAACTTGCCATCATAAATATGGCTGAGCTCTGCTGTATAGGTAAAAGAAGGATCGAGGTAAGGATTGCCTTCATGAATCGAGGTAGGATCGAGGTAGTTCTTAAACGGGTTTAGTTGCCGGTAAGAGGGGCGGTCGATACGGCGGCGTCAGGTTAAGTCCGATATCCGTTTT